GGTAACATAGACTTGGAAGGATCTTGTTAGAGCAATAGAAGAGGCGTTATAACCAAACTGGATGCATACTTGAATGCTAACGATACGTTATCAATGGGTAAGTCTATTGTGAAAACACACACATCCGAGGGTTAAGTGTTGATACGTAGATATATGGCCGATAAGATACGCGGCGACGCACTAAACGCAGGCACACCGCAATACGACGGCACCAGCCCCGGGCCGGCCGGCCACGCCTACCGCACGCACGCAAGTCAACATACGCACGCGCACGCACAGCGCGGCACACGGCGCGCGCGCGCCGACAACACACGCACACACGCACACACGCGCCGCGCGCACGGGCACACACACGCACGCGCACGCCACATACACGCGTGCGCGCACACGGACATGCAAACATGTGCCTGATGTGTCTTATATATACAGGTTGCTCACGAGTGTGTGTGTGTGTGTGTGTCGTGTGTGTTGTGTGTTGGTTTGTGGTCGTGGAATGCAGAAACGGACGCTCCACGCTGCGCCTGTATGGAATAAACGTATAGACTGCTCTAAAAGCTCAAAACGGCCCTTGAATACTCTGTCGCGTTTACTGCATAATGCCAAAAAAAATACGTTGATTGTGGCGAATAAATGGACAGCGACTAACAATTGTGAGCCTGAGGTTTTCATTATGTTTATGTTCGCTCCGTCATATTGGCGCTTCATCGAACTATCAAGTCCGATAGAACCGACATTATACGTAGTGAGTATATAGATGGGTCCGGCGACGTAGGGAAAAGGTCTAAGTGTGAGAATATGAGGAACTGATCGAGAACGTCCGGTCCGCTATGCTCCAGCTGTGTGTAGTGTGTGGTTTACGAATGGCGTATGACTCTCACAATTGCGTAATCTATTATATATAGTATATCGAAGGGTAACGTCGTTATGACAAAAAAACTGTGTTCTGCCGTCATTTTGGTTTCATTGACTCACCGATTCAATATAGTCACTCTCGATGCAACCAGCCAGTTGCGTAGGTAGTAACGCCATATTCTATCATTCATGTGACGAACACATTTGACGATGTGTCACTAGTCACATAGAAGCCGATCTGCCATTCGGAGATATCCCTGATTAAGAAGCTATCAGCAATTGCACTAACACATACAACATGCACCAAGCTGACCAAACACTATACTGACGGTTTACCTTTAATTGGCGTTAGAGTAATCTCTCTCATATTCTTTTATCCGATTCGAAGGTATCATAGAATATGTGACATTATAACACTGGTATTGTATTGTCCGGATCCGCGTCCTACAGTGCGGATGAGTTCACGTCTAGAGAAAGGCAACTTTAGCTAAAATAGTTAATCAACACGCCTACGAGCACGCTTAGCAGACTACGCTTGTATGAACGAACAAAGGAAGCAAACAAACAGTCTCTAGTCTTAGATTAGTGAGTAATGTCGAGCGATTACTACCACCGACATACGTACGGACAAAAATGCGGGGGAAGGTAAACATGAGGTCGATAGTCGCTGTGAAATGAATCAGTAAATGTGAGGTGTACACAATAGAATACAGTAGGCAGCATTGATTATTCATGATTATTTAAGTCTCTGATAGTGATGAAGTTTAACTGAAAGGTGGTCGCATTACTGGTTTCTAGAGTAACCCGTGATTACTTCATGGTCTATTATGTTATAGAGATCTATAAGTTAGAGCAAAGTTAGAGGCTCGTCTCAACTGATTTACAGTCCGAGCAATGTAAGCGACGTTTTAGCGTGGAAAACGTGGTCATGTAGCCTATCTGTGGAGTTCGCGGCAGGCCCTGTGGGATTTTCCGGCGAATTTTCGACATGGACATTTAGTTCAAATGTACACAATCGGCATAAGCAATCAGTTAAACGCATTGTAAGTATTCCGAGCACTTGAAGAGGATTAGGACGAAATAGAATAGTAGATTTAGAATAGAATCAGAACGGATGAAACGTTTAATATGCTGGCTAGTGGGTAGGAGTTAGTCGGTTAGAGTAAGATCATGTCAGTAGATCTGGGCGCGAATAACGAAGCGTTCTTGGGTGTTATATGCTCATGACCAGCCCACCCGCCCCTTTAGTGTGCTGAATGAAGGTATCAGGTTGGGTGCTTCGTTGGTGATTTATCTGTTCTTCAGCTAATTGGCAGGTTTCTTGGATTGATTGCTCTAGCTTCCGCCTAATTTGTGCAGGGTTTCTAGTTGGTAGAGGAGTAATGTTGATGAGGGCGTTCTAAGCCTTCGCGGCTAAATTTTTGTTCAGGGTTCTTGGCCATTGATTGCTCATAGCTTTCAGTAATTGTGTCCACATCTAGGAGTCCGCTGTCAGACTAAATACGACATCCGAGCTCAACCTTGCGCGTAAACGGCTACGTTGATTATTTAGAGAAATACTAGAGACAGCCTTCTTCTCGCTATCTCCTTTCCCCAATCTCACAGTCCCGTTTAACCCGGCTTTCCCCCACCCCGCCCGGTCATCACTTTCGGGGGACTGGGTCCGTCCGCTCCCCACGCTGTGCCAGTAAACAATGCAAAAGACCCCGACCATCGGTAATACTCGACGCGATCGTCCCCTCTGTCCTCGCCCATAAGAGGTCACATGTTCATGTTGGTGATCCCTCCCCAACCCCATTCTCACAGCTCTCATTAAATCCCCCGTACGCTTGGCCCGTACCTCACATTCTCACAACCTACCCCAAACCCACGCCACATAATCTCACTACCTCCCGTTACGTCGCTTACATTCTCGACTAAACCTTTACCCCACCACATATAATGCTCGACTACCATCCACGATCGCTCTCACCATTCTCATCTAACCGGTGACCCACCCAACAAATTCAACTACCTCCCTACGTCGCTTACATTCTCACTAACCTACCCCACCCACATAATCTCACTACCTCCCTACGTCGCCACATTCTCACTAACCTACCCCACCCCACCCACATATTCTCACTACCTCCCTACGTCGCCACATTCTCACTAACCTACCCCACCCGACCCACATATTCTCACTACCTCCTACGTCCGCCACATTGCTCACTAACCTAGCCCACCCATCCCACATAATACTCACTACCTCCCTACGGGGCGCCACATTCTCACGTAACCTTCTACCCCCACCCACCCACATAATCTCACTACCTCCCTACCGTCGCCCACATCCTCACTACCCCCTCCCAGCCCATCCTCACAGTTCTGAATATTTCTCGCCCATCAATCGTTCAAATTCTCACTAACATTAACCGTACCCCTAATAGCGTAGCTCTCTTCTCCCCTCCCTCTTCCGCTTTCTCTTAGCCACCCACCATTCTCTCTAAACCTACCCCACCCACACCACCAAAAGTCTCTTTCTCTCTCTCTCTCTCTCTCTCTCTCTCTCTCTCTCTCTCTCTCTCTCCCTCGCTCTCTCTCTCTCTTCTCTCTCTCCTCCTCTCTCCTGTTCTCTTCTCTCTCTCTCTGCTCGCTCTCTCTCTCTCTCTATCTCGGGCTTCGCTCTCTCTCTCTCTCTCTATCTAGTCTATAGATATATATATATATATATTATATCTCTCTCTCTCTCCATCCACGAACAGGTTCGACGCGGGCGCGCTTTAGGAAAGACGACATTTGCTCGTGCCAGGGACTCGCTTTTCACGTGCCGCTTCAATGCGTAATGACGCATAGTTCGATTATTACATTTATTCGCTAAAAAAATATGTTTTTTTCTTCTCACGCGTCGTCGGTCTGCTAGATGTGTGCCTGGCTTTAATTGAGCCACTCGGGTCCGCTCTGCTTCCGATAAACACTTATATAAATTCACACCGCACGCCCCGTCTGTTCGCGTGAGCTGTTCGGACAGTGCAGCGTTGCGGTAGAATTATCACTGCTGGCCATAAGTTTCGCCACTCGAGCTTCAGTGTTTAGGTCAATAAGGAGCTTTTACGGTGTTACGTTCCCGGACGGGCTTTCAGTGGCAAATAAGCAGTGCCGACCGAGCAGCGCTAGAATAAACGCGGGCAGGAATACGCCCTAGGTAAGATAGGTCAACAGGTAGAATGAGCAGGTAGGCAGATCATCAGGTAGAATAAGCAGGTAGACAGATCATCAGGTAGAATAAGCAGTAGACAGATCATCAGGTAGAATAGCAGTAGACAGATCATCAGGTAGAATAAGCAGGGTAGAAGATGAGATTGTAATAGGCAGGTAAATAGATCGGCGGGTATATAGTCAGCAGGTCAGGTAGATAGATTAGTTTGTATAAAGAACATGTTCAAGATTTGCAGGCACGTATATAGTGAGCAGGTAGATAGATTAGCAGGTAGATCGATCAGCAGTGAGACTGAGCAGGTAGACTAAGCAGGTAGATTGATAAGCATGTGTAATTATCAGGTAGATAGCTCTGCATGCATGTATATAGCGAGCAGGTAGATAGATCAGCACGTAGATCAGCAGGTATATAGCGAGCAGGTAGATAGATCAACAGGTAGATAGATCAGCAGGTAGATAGATCAGCAGGTAGATAGATCAACAGGTAAATAGATCAGCAGGTAGATAGATCAGGCAGGGTAATAGATTCAGCAGTATATAGATCAACAGGTAAATAATCAGCAGGATAGAATAGATCAACAAGGTAAATAGATTTCAGCAGCGTAGATCAGCATCAGCAGTAGATAGATCAGCAGGTAGATAGATCAGCAGGTAGATAGATCAGCAGGTAGATAGATCAGCAGGTAGATAGATCAGCAGGTATATAGATCAGCAGGTATATAGATTAGCAGGTAGATTGACCCTCACTTCGCACCTACGCCGACCGCACTCTAACGATGCTGCCTCACTTCGCACCTACGCCGACCGCACTCTAACGATCCTGCCTCACTTCGCACCTACGCCGACCGCATTCTAACGTTACCGCGCGACGGACGCACCGAAGATGAATAAATAATGATGCAAGCCGTCGGAATTTAATCAGATTGTTAGCGGCCGCAGCAGCAGCGTGT